TGCAGAATACATGCAATCTCGTTTTGAGCATGCAAGCCCTTGGTCAGGATCCAATAAGTGGGATTTTATTGCTCTGATGAAAATCTGGGTCCAAAGATGAAAACATTTCTTTCAATTATAGATAGCTATAATGAAATTATGGATTTTATATTTCCTCCCAATTTATATTTTTATGATGAATTTCGAGTTTATATAAATACCCCTTAAAGCCCGGGATGAACTTGGAAACACTGTTATCATATTATTTGTCTTTCCAATCTTTCGGTATGTCATATTGTCTTATCAGCGTCGGCAAACGGATAAAGATTGTTTCATAAAATGCTTCTGAAATCTGAATTTGGTAGGAAATAATTTGCTTTCTGGGAAGCAAATTTTGCGTCTGCAATAAAAGCCAATTAAAAATCACGAATATTTCCGCGACATTGTTTCTTACGTTTGGCCAATGCTTTAAGTTTAGCGAAATATTTCATTTGTTCCTTGATCGTGTGAATTGTATGCATACATATTTTTTATTCTCCGACCTGTTTGATACAGGTGGGGTTTTTACCTCACACAAATTTGTATTGAATTAGGATGTTAATATAAAGTAGAATTAAACGTTAAAACGGTATTTTGAAACAATAGCCAATGAATTGAAGTGATTTAGCATATTAGCAAGCAAAATATACAATGTGTTTTTAACAATATTTAATGTGGGTGTATTTCATAGAAATAATAGATATCTATTATTTCTATGGTGTATTTATATTACAAGGTTTGATCAGTATTCCGTGATTTTATTTTGTTGTTTTTGCGGAGGAAATCGGGGAAACCCCCCAGTGAGAATCTATTTTTATATTCTGCGCGTGCGCAGTGCGAGTTTGGCTGAGTTGCGCATGCGTATTTGCTACCAAAATAATGGCGGTTCGAATATTTCGAAGCGCGAAAATATCAAACTTTGGAGGGATTTTTCTCCCAATTGTGCACCTGTTTCACTTGGGGAGCAACGGATTTTGATAAAGTAAGTTTTTATCTATTTATTCATGTGAAAATTACGTAGTTCCACGAGGGGTGCAACGGAATTGCATCTTTTGGATGCTCATCCCACGGCCTATAGATTTTGACTTCGGACGAGCAATTTGCTTTCGTATACAATAATAACTGGTGATTTGATTTCGTCAGATCTTCATTGATATAAATTTGTCTGCCCCCGAGATTTCTTCTGACTTTCATAAATTTCATTTTAGTACTATAACACGTCAATTTGACTATCATAGCTCGTGGGGCAGGCTTTGGTTGACCATTGCTGACTTGCTTTAGTTGGCCAACGCGATGCGCCTGATCGATTTCATCTCAGCTAACTTCGATATTTAAATGATTCTCACATAACTTAAGTACTTTGTCGTAGCAATCCTCTTTAATCTCTTCGGCAAGACCGAAAATTCGTATATTGTTTCTTCTGGAGTATTGCTCGTTATCGTTTGCCTTAGCTTCTACATTGCAAGCTTTGTTTTAAGATCTCTGCTTTAAGATGTGCTACTGCGTCTTTGAGGGAAGTAATTTCTGTATGTAAAGGCTTTACGTACAATTAGTCTAGGACCTATATATGAGTTTGTATGCGATTCATTTAGGACAGGTAACTCAACTGTTTTAGGGTAAAATGACCATGGCGGTCAACATGGCATATGTGCGAAAACCTGAATCCGGGGCAAAAGTCCTGAAAATGACCCCGCCCTGAAACGGCAGTGTCGATATAGCTCTAACTTCCGAAAAGGAAAAGCAATAGCCTTTCTGAAGTGCTTGTAGTGTTTAGAAGGTTTGCTTTTAGGGGTGGTTATTGGAAGGAAAAATTTGTCTAAGTATAATATTTTACCAGAAAATGACCATGCACCACCCCAGGTAAAATGCTGATTATGCACAAAATAACTAATATGCCTGGCAGAAATTAAATTTTCTTATTTCCTAAAAAAAATTATCATGGGATGAAAAACTATGCTTAGTTCAATATAATTATTGTGGATTTCATAAGGATTGTCATTGTTTTCTTTTAATATAATACATTTTATTTCACTTATCCCCACGAAAACACGATTTCAGCCATATTTTGCCGTCTTGTTTGCTTTTTATCGCCGAGTCTCGCAAATATCATCCAGTCGTTGTACTTTTACTTAATCATAAATGGCTAAAGAGTATATCACCCAAGTTTCATGAAGTTTTGGAACTGTGCAGTGTATTTTATCTTCGATATTGTGTCCTTCGATATTTCGTCAAATTGCCGCCATTTTAATGGCTCGCCGCTTCTCTGTCCGATAAATGCCACTTCTCCATTTTCATATGTATTCAGATTACAGTATCCAAGAGTACTTCATTGTAGAATAGTCCCAATCGAAAAATTGACAACATTTGTCCAATTTGGGAGGAAAAATCCTCCCGTATACAATTTAGGTTCAAAATCATTTGAAAGTCACGCGCAATCTTCGCGAAAACTTCTCGTGGACACATGACAGGGGGGGGGGTGTAAATATTTTCACGAAAAGTTTGTTCGCCAGCACAGAAACAACTAAATATATTGTATTTACTGTATTTTCATGATTTATGATAAATATTTGCGTAGTTTTGTCATAAATCATAAAAATACAATAAATACAATATATTTAGTTGTTTCTGTGCTGGCGGACAAACGTTTCGTGAAAATATTCACACCCCCCCTGTCATGTGTCCACGAGAAGTTTTCGCGAAGATTGCGCGTGACTTTCAAATGATTTGTTTTTATTTTGAACCTAAATGGTATACGGGAGGGTTTTTCCTCCCAAATGGGACAAATGTTGTCAATTTTTCGATTGGGACTATTCTACAATGAAGTACTCTTGGATACTGCAATCTGAATACATATAAAAACGAAGAAGTGGCATTTATCGGACAGGGAGGCGGCAAGCCATTAAAATGGCGGCAATTTGACGAAATGTCGAAGGACACAATATCGAAGATAAAAGACACTGCACAGTTCCAAAACTTCATGAAACTTGGGTGAAATACTCTTTAGCCGTTAATGATTATGTAAAGGGTACAACGACTGGATGATATTTACGAGACTTGGCGATAAAAAGCAAACAAGACGGCAACATATGGCTGAAATCGTGTATTCGTGGGGGATAAGTGAAATAAAATGTACTATATTAAAAGGAAACAATGACAATCCTTATGAAATCCACAACTTATTACTTTTTAGGAAGTAAGAAAATATATTTAATTTCTGCCAGGCATATTAGTTATTTTGTGCATAATCAGCATTTTACCTGGGGTGGTGCATAGTCATTTTCTGGTAAAATAATATATTTAGACAAATTTTTCCTTCCAATGACCACTAAAAGCAACCAGGGTTGCCAGATTGCTGAATAAATAAGCCAAACATTGTTATAAACGGCCCTTTGATGTCTTTGTTTCGAACAAAGAAAACAAAAGGTTATGATAATAATATTTGGCTTATTTATTCAGCAAACTGGCAACCCTGAAAGCAACCCTTATAAACACTATAAGCACTTCAGAAAGGCTATCGCTTTTCCCTTTCGGAAGTTATGCATGAGTCAATTCCAGGAGTAACCATCCCCCCCCCCGGGAACACACTCGGGCATTTGATTTGATTGGTTATGATAATGTAAATGCCCGGGTGCCGGGACACAACTTGAAGACTAATGCACGAGTGGAAAATGCCCCACCCGGGAGACGATTTTACAGTCGATTTCATGAAACTTTGACTACAAATGTTCTGAACTTCGTTGCGAAGTTCGCAAGTTCGTTGCGAAGTTCGGAAGCTCATATTGGAATTCATTGTCTGTGAAGTAAAAGAAGCCAATCAAATGCGTAGTTTACGAACTGGTTTGTGAATCTCATTATGAACTTTTGAACTTCGCAACAATCTTGTGAACTTCGCAATGAAGTTCGGAAAATTTGTGGTAAAAGTTTCGTGAAATCGACTGTAAACGTTAATTAAACTTTTAATGGCATATAATCATAGTCATTTAATAACATTATAGTATTAAACTGCTATGGAATATTATAAAACATAAACCTTTAATAGTTGTATTTAAATTTGCATGGCACAGGGTATAATTTTCGCTTATTCTTACAATAAATTTGACGCCACCTTGACCACGACGGCGCAAAATGCGTGCCTGAAACTAGGTTTTGCTGCCTTAATTAAAATTTGTGGGTGGGATTTTGGTCAACCATTTGTCAAATCCCCGGGGTCCTCCAATACCCGGCCCCCGTGCACATATATGAAAGGCAAATTCCCGACCCCCGTGAACTGTCTATGGGGCAAATTCCCGGGGGTGTCCCGGGGGGGGGATGGTTACTCCAGGAATTGACTCATGCATTAGAGCTATGTCGACACTGCCGTTTCAGGGCGGGGTCATTCTCAGGACTTTCGCCCCGGATTCAGGTTTTCTCGCACATATGCCATGTTGACCGCCATGGTCATTTTACCCTAAAACAGTTGAGATTAGATTACCTGTCCTAAATGAATCGCATACAAACTCATATGCAGGTCCTAGACTACTTGCAACTAACACTCTACATAGCGTTTTTGATGGGGATTCGAACAAGACTATTACAAAGACGATATGTTCGAAGGGGCCGAAGTTATTTTCGGCGAAAGTTATGGCTATCTATATTTTTGTTCAGACAATTGCGTAATTTGATACAATATGATCGTGTTTGACTTTCAAAGGCCCATAAATCGCTACAATGTTGATAATGACAATAACTATAGTGCGAAATTAGTTGAAGCTTTTATTTCTGAATCGAATGGTGGTATTTCTGTCCTCATAGCATGCACTGAACCGAAGATAGATATTAAAATATTGAGCCATCAACTCGCCGAGATATTTACATTAGAAACAATTGAATCGTATACTCAAAATGCGATACTTGTCGAGAAAGAGTTTTTTTGAGTAATTTTTGGAGTAATTTTTTAAAAATAAATTACAAATCATACCTCGGTATGCATGCAAGCGTATGTTTATACAACCCTCGGGATTTCGCAGACCGATATTGGCTTTCGCATGCTCTTGACTGACGTTTGCGGTTTGTTGCGCACACTACATGCTATATTGGCATATTGTAAACACTGGACTGGACTTTGGACTTTGGACTTTGGACTATGGACTTTGGACTTTGGACTTTCGATTTTGAAATTATATTTTTAAAATTTTCGTATAATTATATAAATTAAAATCTAAATAGAGAACGAAAATTTGTGCATGATATAATATATTCAAGGTAAAAAATACTATCAGTTATATAGGTATACCAGTGTAATTTCATAGATATAGCCTGTGGGATAACAGGATCATCTTTATTTAATATTTAAATTTTATTATAATATTTGTATTTATAGTATGTATAGTACAGTTTATACTGCAGAACTTCTTCTTTATCGTATAGATAATAGATTTATAGAAACAATTGTGACAAAAGTAGCTTGGCAAATACAAAATATTGAGAAACTATCACATATAAGTATAAACTATACGCGATTATTATTGCGCCTTTGGCTTTGAACAATTATTCGCCGAAGGCGAGGCCGTGATTATATCGGGGAATTTGTAGTCTCCCTCGCAGCCGCCAGTTGTGTACGTTCTCTTTGGAGTTTGATGTCTGCGAAGGAGGCTAGGGAATTTCTCAAATTTGATCAATCAACTTGACAACTTGTAGGATTTGTTATATATTTATTCACTTGCGCAAAAATACTAATGACGGTATTGTTCATCTTTGCATAAAGTTTACACCGGTTTAGCGCCTGCCTAAATAGGCTGTGTTTACAATGTATTTTGTCTGTGTCAGTTTTAGCTTTTCATAAATGTATTCAGCCATAGTGAACACGGAAACTCTCATAGTCATCATACTTCATAAAATACGAATGTATGATACATTATTAATTGGTAGTACTGATTACTTTATGATAATCTATAGTAGGCTAATTAGTGTTACTTTATGTATATATTTATGTCTATATTATTGTCTATATATGGCTCTTTTGCGTACGTTATGCGGCTGAGATTAATCTTTATACTACGATTCCGATTCCCGCCTGGTTCATCACTTGCAAGTGGTAGTATTACAGTAAACGTGGCAAATAGTTGCTAGACTACCTGAAGCATATAGACATAGATTTTTGCCTTCTCACACACAACTGAGTAGGTCTTAAAAGTGTGTAAATTTCCGTTAGAATATTCCTGTCCATCTACTAACACTTATTAATAATAACTGAAGCACTTAGTCTTATAGTGATAAGGCCAGTAGCTAACTAGAACGTCTTTCAAAAATAAGTAACATTAACAAAACTTTACTGTGTACAGTCCTAGTATAAACTATTATGCAAAGATGAACAGTCACAATACTCAATACTCAATAGGCGCGATAATAATCGCTTGTATAGTTAATATTTTGTATTTGCCGAGACACTTTTGTCACAATTGTTTCTGACAATTAATCTATTATCTATATGATAAAGAAGAAGTTCTGCAGTATATACTGTACTATGCATACTATAAATACAAATATTATATAAAATTTAAATAATAAATCCCCAAATATTGGATAATCCTGCTATCCTACAGGCTATATCCGTATGAAATTGCACTGCTGGTATACCTATCTTTATCTTTAATCTTTATAGATTTAATCTTTCTATAACTGATACTAGAGAATTTTTACCTTGTATATTATTATATCATGCATGTGCATGCAGTGTAGCACGCTTTTCAGCAGCAAATTTTCATTCTCTGTTTAGATTTTAATATAATTATACGAAAATCTAAAAAATAATATAATTTCAAAATCGAAAGTCCAAAGTCCAAAGTCCAAAGTCCATAGTCCAAAGTCCATAGTCCAAAGTCCAGTCCAGTGTTTACAATATGCCATGCTATATTGATAATATTAATTTTATCGCAAGCAATAAAACTTTCAATGTTATAGCGATACAATTCAGTCAATTCTAAACCTAGTGCAGGTAAGATATACATTTAGAACACTTGTAGAACCTACTACAATTGTGTATGCCAAATCCAAGGTGTTGGCAAAGTTTCAATGAACGATCACTTTCTGTACAGTCCACATCATCCAGCCATATTTCTCCATATCCTTTTCTGTGTTCTCTTGTAAATGTTCCCGTTGAAAACCCAAGTTCACGACAAGCAACAATGCTGTTTATCTGGCTCCAGCCATGGTTGCAAACAGTTCCCCAAATTCCTGCGTGAAAGACTTCCAATCTCCCAGTGCTAAATCCGTTCCCATCAACAAGTCTCAAGCTTAGTAAACTAATGCCATTGATTTCTGAACTGCTAAAATTCTGGCCAATTTCTGAACTTAAATCAATTGGTAATGTTTCAGTGCCATTTGCAACGAGGTTTCCGTGGACAGTGAAACTACCGTTTCCTGAGAACATGATGTTTACACCAGGTTGGATTGTCAGAGTGGCGTTCTCATGAATATTGACAGTGTGATTTATTTTTAAAATTTCGTTTTCAAATGAAATCGCATGATCTTCGTAGATATCCGCAATAAATCCCGAAGTAGGGACTACACGAATATAGAGAAATATTGCTAAGGATAAGATGAAAAACCTGCCTGCCAAACGAATGCACCATTCTCGGTGCGTCGCCATCACAGAAATGAATATATGCGCTGAAAGCCTTTCAGCATAATATATAGTGAAAATGACGTATTATAGTAATTAAATAAATAATTATCTGAACAGTTATTTCGGAGTACTGACGAGAATATCTGTATGTCTATAACTAGAAGCCAACCAAATATTCTATAGTTATGTTGGTATATATAAAAATATATGTACGTTGTTTTCGCCTTTTGGGGAAATTAAGAATCTACGCAACGACTGCTTGCACGAAAATAAGTTAATTATGCAAAATGCCAAAAAGTATATTGCATTGTTGTATAACAGATCCGGCAACCTACTGTGCGGACAAAGAGTTTTATTAGATTTTAGAAAGTTTATTTGTTGAGCTAACTGATCTTGCCAACGGAAAGCTTTCATGCGTTATTAAACTAGTCTAAGTTTTCTCAATCATGAGCCGCGGATGAGGGAATTGTCTCATGTTACATGTATGTTTTTTAAAAATATTTTATTGTCGCATTCGACTCGGAGGGGCAGGGATGCCTAAATTCCAAACAAAGCCTTTATCTAAAGTCTAATTGATCGATTTAATATATTGAGGCATGTATGTAACTGGCTGCTTTCCAATCTCGTACGTACGAAGTTGGCTGCTTTCCAGTTAAAGATGATGTCCACTCCTGTGCACATGCGCGAACTTTGTTTACGTTTTGAACTACTATATATTTGTAAAATATGATATACTAACTGAATATCTAACACTTTTCTGGTTTGCTATTCTTGTAAATGAATATAAACTGTACGTTTCAATTCAAAAAGGTTCGAAAGATGCGAACTTTAGGTAATGTTTATATCTGGGGGCAGGGACGCCGGAACTGGGAGGGCAGGAGGGGCAGCCGCCCCCCTTGCCCTTTACCAGGAGGGGCAAGGGGGGCCAAGGTGCCCTTTCAATTTAAAGGATTGCCTTGGCAAAATAGCGAATTGTCAGAAATGTTAGTGCAATTCTTTTACGAATTTGCTTTAGAAAACGCAAAAAATGCAGTCATCCAGCTTCAAGAATAGCACAATCGTCTGGCGGAGAACCCCCTCACACCCCTATCATCCAATAAATAGAAAACATGATTAGGCGAAATTCAACTGCCCGAAGTTTTGCAAACATCTCTTAGTATATATCAATTCAAAAGTGCCCTTTCACGAAAATCTGCCCCCCTTGCCTTCACATCGTTCCGGCGTCCCTGTCTGGGGGTCCCCCTTTGTTATGAGCAGAACTGATGCGCAGAACGAAGTGGACATCATAAAATGTATTCGTTAAGATAATTATTAATGACTAAATAAAATCACTTTTGAGTGTTAATTTTGGCTAACTTTTTTTATTGGTTTCCATGAAAGCATTAATAGACCCCAGGGGCCGGTTGTATAAAAAAGTGATTAAAGTTAATTATAGTTAGTGGAAACGTCATCCAATAAGAAGCGCGTATTCGAGAGTTAATCACTATTTAACTACAAAATAGTGATTAAAAAGTGATTAAGAGTTTTATACAACCGGCCCGGCCAGTTCTACTATCTGACCAAGTTTGACGAAAAATGTTGAAAACTCGCAGAGTTATTTAATAAAATACATTTCGCTGCAATAAGAACACTGAAAACATTGAAAATGTAATACTGATTTTCAAACGAGTTGTTCTCCTGCGGGTTTTGACGAATTTTTCTCAAATTTTCACCGGACATAGCTAACGACGTCAGTTTCCGTGTTCGGCTTTTTTCTAATTTTGGATATTTTAATCATAAGGAGCAATTCAAACGATTCAGAAATATATTGCAGTCGTCAAAGAATTCGCCATATCAGCGGAATGACGAAATAAACAAAAATTTCAGCATGAGCTCCACCTTTAAATTTACTATATGAGTAAATTCTTAAACACGTCCGAATTTATCATTATGATAAATTCGCGGCACATTTTGAATTTATCATAATAATAAATTCGCGGCACATAACACTAACCCCAACCACTAACCACTAACCCCTAACCCCTAACTTTTTAAACTTTTTTAACTTTTTTAACTTTTTTGAAAATCTAACTTTTTTAACTTTTAAAACTTTTTTAAAAACTATTTTTTGAAAATCTTGAAAATCTCAGATGATTGTTCTTTGCAGCAGATTCCCAAAACAAATGCAAAAATAGGTACGCAACGCGTGCATGTATCTGCAAAAAAGTTGATTCACATTTTGTATTCTCTTGAAAGGAACTGAATAATGAAGGCATGTTGTAAAAGACGGACTGGACTGGACTGGACCGGACTGGACTGGACTGGACCGGGAAAACGCGGACTGAGTCCGTGTTTTACAAATCGTGGACTGAATTTGTAAAACACGGACTGGACTGGACTGGACCGGGAAAACACGGACTGAGTCCGTGTTTTACAAATCGCGAACTAAGATTTGTAAAACGCGGACTGAGTCCGTGTTTTACAAATCGCGGGCTGGAATTTGTAAAAGGCGGACTCATTTACTGAATGCACTAAGGATGAACGGTCGCAGGAAAGTATTGTCCATTCTTATGACAAAGTTCAATGTTTTTACCGAGAAACTTCAATGTTTTTTATGATTATTTATGACCATTTGGTGGCTTCAAAGCTTGGATCTGGTTGTTCAACAGATTAACATCAGATCAGAACCTGTCAAGTGCTCTTGACAAACATCGAAGATTCTCACGCGAATAGGCAATGTTTTTATCAACGACCGTTCATCCTGCAAGCGACGGTACATGGACTCAGTCCTGTACTGACTCAGTCGTAAAAGTTTTGGCAGGAATTGCACTCAGTCGTGAGAGTTTTGGCGGGAATTGCGGATATTAATAGGTTGGTCAAGGAATAATCATATCCTGGAGCTAAGGTTGGTAAGAATTACTATTATTTATTGTTTTGAATAAATCAAAGATTTTAAATGATAGAATGTTGAGTTAAGTAATTTACAGGGCTTTCAGAGGGAATTTATAGAATTTATATTGGTCCAAAGGTAAGGGTTTAAGCCATGTTTTAACAGGAATTGATAGAGTTAATTTGTTTATTTTGTGTTCGTGGCGAAGAGTTTTCAAACGTTTTCACCCGTTTTCAAAATTACGCGATCAAGGACGAAAATGCTAGAGTTGACATGTCAGTTTTATGTCATTCGGTCACGAGCTACACGAAGTTTAAACTTTGAGTTTTGCGGTTCCTTGTCGATGTATATGCTTTGTATGCTTTATATAAACAGGCTTACAATGATTTCAAGATATTTTTAGTGGGAATTATTGCAAAATTTAAGCACAAACAAAATCATAACATCACCGTCAGGGATGCCGGAACCACGGGTGCAGCGGGTGCAAGTGCACCCCTTGCCTTTTGCATTTTCAACTTTGTGGGTGCAGTGCGGGTGCAGACTATGGGTATATCGGGTGCACAAAACTTTTACAGCAGACATAATTAAACGTCGCTTGAGGATGTGTGTGGGGGTGTTCCCCCCGCAGTCGTCAGGTGAATTCGGCAAAGTTCAGTGTTATCCATTTGGCGAAAGGTGAAACGGAAAGCATTACTTATGGAATTTTTATTGAAGCATTACGGAGGAATTGTGCCTAAATAATTGTATTCGGTCCGAAAAAATTTGGTGACGGGGAGGGAGGTCGACACGAATGTTGGATCATGACGCCGTTTCATTTTCATTGGTGCCCTTTTGTTATGGAGTATGCCCTTTTGTTAACCAATTGCACCCCTTGCCCTCAGCAACTTCCAGTATCCCTGATCACCGTTC